AGCAGGCAGGGCCGAGGGCTGCGACCCTTGGGCTCGGCCCCGCATGGCCTTGGCTGGGAGGAGCTTGGGGCCAACTGGGTCTGGGGGATGTCGGCACCTCCCTGGACCGGGGGCTGCGGGTGCCTGGCAGCTCTCGGCCCCAAGGCGCCAGCAGTGCCTGGTGTGGGGGTGGGTGCTGCTCAGAGCTGCTTGCCCCCGCTCCCGAGGCAGGAGCAGGGCTCTGGGCCCCAAAGTGGGGAGCATGGACCCCCTTGGAGACCTGGGGTGTGCAAGGGGAGTGGCGAGCCCCACCCTGCTGACCAGGGGTCCTGCTTGGGAGGGACTAGGCAGGGATGTGGGGTCCTGGCTTGAGGGCAGCACAGAGGAGCCTGCCGGCACGGACCTCAGCTGCACCCGCAGCCCCTTCCCTTCCCACCACTGAGGATGGAGGATGGAGGACGGGCTGCAGCCTCTGGCTTCTCCACTGCACCAGTTCCCCCCTCATTTCCTGCTCCTGTGGGCTAATTAGGGCGTCACCTAAATGAGGAGGGACAGAGGACAGGTGCCCTGCACCAGCCCATCCGTGCACAGTGGGGAGGCCCCAGTCCACCAGCCCCAGGCACCGCGCGCAGCCTCCCGCCCCACAGCAAGGCCCTGGCCCTCCTGCGGACCCTGAGCAGGGGCAGTTCCTCCCAGGATGAGGCCCCTGTGCTGGCAGCATGGCACCGGCCACTCTCACGCCAGTGCATGGCCCTCGGCCGTTCCCCACAAGCGGGCACCGCCAAAGCCCCAGCCTCGAGGCCGTGGCATGCCCGGGGGTGAGAGCGCCTGCCACGTGGGCCTTGCTAGCAAGTCTCTTCCCACCATGCTTCGGCTCAGGGACACCGCTACCGCCAGGCCTGTGCACAGAGGCCCCAGCCCTGGCTGGCCGCAGCCTGCATCCAGGGATGTGGCGTGGCGTGGCGTGGCGTGGCGTGGCGAGGCTGCCAGCCGCCACACACAATCCCCCCTTGTCTCCTCCACCTGGCTGCGCCGCTTGAAGCATTCATGAGCGCACCTCCTCCTGGCCCGCGCCGGCCATTGGCCGCGGCACCTCCCGGGGGCCCAGCAGGCCGGGAAAACAGGAACGAGGGAGGAGGGAGAGAGGCGGAGGGAGAGAGGGACCAGGGAGCCAGGCGCCGTGGCCGCGTGCTTCCGAAACCACATCCTTCCCCGGTGCGAGCAGCTCCGCGCTGGCCTCACCGGGGCCCTCCCCCACCCACGGGGACCCAGAGAGGCTGGGGGGGCCCTGGTGGAGTGAGGACAACCCCCACCCCGAGGTGCCTTGCCCCCCTTCTGCTCTCACTCCCTGGACAGGATCTGGCGGGGCGGAGGGGGGGACGAGACCCTCAGCAAACGCCCCCCGCCCTCTCGCCAGGAGAGCCGGGGCAGGACGGGAGGGGCCGTGTTCCCCCTCCTGGGGGCTCAATGCCCCCATTCACGGGCTGTGATGAATGCATTGGTTCTGGCACATTAGCAGACAGCTGGGTTTCTTCTCCATGGCACGGAGGCTGCGGGACAGGCAGGTTTCACACCTGCTGGTGGTCTGTCTGCCTTCCCGGGCAGGGGAGGGGGCCGGGCAGGGGCTGTGGGAGCTGGAGCCAGGCCCGGGCTGGGAGCAGCCTCCAAGCCACTGCCTGCAGGGAGCTGCTCTGCCTCCGCTCAGCCCCGCAGCGGTCGGCACGAGGGGGCGGCTCGGCTCGGCTCGGCTCGGCTCGGCCTGGCCCCGCGCGCCCGGAGCATGGGGGTGTTTGCGAGCAGCTGCACGGGGCAGGCACCCCGAATGCAGGCGCGTGAGCCCGCGCGGGACATGCCAGGCAGGTGGTGGGGCCAGGAGGCTCCAGACCCGGAGCTGGGAGCCCTGCGTGGGCCTGTCGCGCTTTGGCGGGTCCCTGGCACCGGCGGAGGCCACGGTGGAAGCAGCTTTGCGTTGTCTCAGGGCAAAGGCTGGGGCTGACCTGGTGCCGCCTGCTCCAGCTCCATCACTAGGCTGGGCTCGTGCCCCACCGGGCGCTGCACCACTCGCAGCAGTGGCTGCTGGAGCCGGGGTGGGGGCCATGCCAGGCTGGTTCAGGCACGAGCCCTCGGGCTGCAGCGCGCCACTGGAGCCCCGTGCAGGTTGTCTGGGGTGGGGGGACTAGCTGCAGCCGCCTGCGTGGCAGGTCTTGCCCAGGGCTGGGATAGGAGACGGCCTAGAGCACGCTGGAGCTCCCTGACCTGCCTGCTCCTGCCAGGGGCCCGGGCAGCAGGCGAGGGGGTTGCCCACCCCCCACCTTCGGCTGCAGCTGGGGCACGAGGAGGAAACCGGATCCTGGGGCTAAGGCCCCCGCGAAACCCAACCCCTGCCTGGGCCAGAGCTGAGCTCCGCTCGCTCTGGAGAAACCCTAAACCCTGCTGAGCCCCGAGCGCGGGGGTGAGGGACAGCTGCAACCCCCCCGCCCTGCCCC